AAAACTTTCAGCCCCAACCTCAACGTCCAGGGAGCAGAGACGGGTTAGAGATGTAGTTCAACCACCACTGGTGATCACTGTGAGGTTTGCGAAGGCTTCTGGGTTGGTGAACGCTTGGACACGCTGGGCAGGCAGTGCACCCAGAGGGGGCGTGGAAGCTCTGCGCCCCGCCCCCTGTAGCTTGCCCTCTTCCATTTGGCTGTTCCTGGGTTGAATCTTTGATAATAAAATTTTTAGTACAGCATTTTCCTGAGTTCTGAGCTGTTCTATGGAATTATGCCACCTGAGGGGATGTCATGGGAACCTCCAACTCTGTAGTAGGCCAGGCGGAAGTGGGAGTGGCCTGGGGGCCCCATTGGCAGCTGGCATCTGAAGTAGGGGCAGTCTTGTGGGACTGAGCCCTTAGCCTATAGGGTCTGTGTTGACTCCAGTACTGTCAGACTTGAATGGAATTGGAGGACACCCAGCTGACGTCAGAGAACTGGCGTTGGAACTATGTCGTTTGGTGTCAGGAGAGAGCTCAGGTATTTATGTTAAGTGAAATAAGCCAGACACGAAAACACAGATATTGTGATTCCATTTATATAAGGTACTTAGAGTGGGCAAATTCATAGAAACAGGAAGTCGAATAGAGTTTCCCAGGAAATGAGGGAGAGGTGAATGGACAGTTATTGTTTAATGGGTACAGAGTTTCTGTTTGGGATGGTGAAGAAGTTCTGGAAATGGATAGTGGTGATGGTGCCACCATACTGTGAATGTACTTAATGCCAGTGGATTGTACACTTAAAAGGGGTTAAGATTGTAAATCTTGGTATGTATATCTGCCCAATAAAAAAGTAACAAAAATATATTTTAAAAATAGTAATCATATACATAAATACAAAAACACACGCAAGTTAACCCTGTAAATGTCTATTATTTCAATGGTTCATAAAATGTCATAAACTTCAAAGGGTCTCATATTTAAATCACTTAAGAGTATGTATGCATTATCCTTTAAACAAAATATGAACCTCAGATGATAGGTTGAGTGTTTGGTGTGTGTGGGGGGGTGGAAATTGGGAAGTTTCTTCTTACAGTAGGATGCCAACTCATAAACGTAGAATAATAGAATAATAATAATAGCGTTTCACACGTTGAAACCCTCAGAGTAAGAATTTATCCCGGCAATACTCAGTTCAAAGATGCTAAAACTAGTGGGTGTAAGTTTGATGAGCAACATATATTTACATATTCTCTCCATAAACGTATTCATTACAAAGGAAATAATAACTTTACGGGGAAGAAACCTGGTGGGCGCCACTTTAACCAGGTGATCAAGTTACTATGATTACTAATGACACAAACCAACATTCTATGCCTCCTGATATGACCCACTGGAAAGAGTACAGCATCATTTATGTAGCATTTCTGGAATAATGCATAACCTGAATCAAATCATGACGGAACATCAGGGAAAAACAGATTGAAGAGGTGGCTACAGAACAGGTAGTCTGTCTTCTCCAAAAATGTCAGTATCATTAAAGACAAAGTAGGGCTGGGGAATCATCCCAGATGAAAGGTGATTAAACACGTAGGAAAACTAAATGCAGTGTGTGGTCCTGCTATGAACCGTGCATCAGGAGGAGAAATTGATGCAAAGGATATTATTGAGACAACTGGTGAAATTTGAATCCGGTCATTAGATCAGATAATACTATTATCTCAATGACAAATTTCCTGATTTTGATCATTGCTCAGTGGTTCCGTAAATGGACGGCCACGTAGGAAGGGGCATGGTATCTGCATTTACCATCAGACAATTCAGGAGAAAACTTTATAGATATATATGTGGGAAGGGAGGAAAGAGAGGACAGAGAGAAAGAGAGAGAGAGAGAGAGAGAGAGAGAGAACGTATGAAGATAATAAAACAAACGTGCCATAACAGTTGGGGAATCTGTGTGAAAGTATATGGAGTACTGTGCACAATAATTGCAACTTTTTGGTAGATTTGTAATTGTTTCAAAATGAAAGTTTTTTTGAAAGGGTATGAAAGATTTCCCATAAAAGTGGGCCAAGTCCATGCTTCTGGAGGGAGTCCCTGGCTTTCATCAGGTTCTGACTTGAGGACTCATGTTTCAAAAAGCGTGAAAAACACCCCCTCCTTGAAAACCACAATTTGAAAAGATATGCACTTCCCAGTGTTCACTATTTACAATAAGAAATGGAAGCGACCTAGGTGTCCATCAGCAGATGAATGGATAAAGAAGATGTGGTACATATACACAATGGAATATTACTCAGCCATAAAAATGGATGAAATAATGCCATTTGTGCAACATGGATGGACCTAGAGGTTACCATACTAAGTGAAGTAAGTCAGACAGAGAAAGACAAATATCATATAATACCACTTATATGTGGAATCTAAAAAACGGATACAAATGAATTTATTTACAAAACAGAAACAGACTCACAGACGTAGAAAACAAATGTATGGTTACCAAAGGGGAAAGGTTGGGGGGGAGGGATAAATTAGGAGGTTGGGATTAAAATATGCACACTACAATATGTAAAATAGATAATCAACAAGGACCTACTGTATAGCACAGGGAACTCTACTCAGTACTCTGTAATGACCTATATGGGAAAGGCATCTAAAAAGGAGTGGATACAGTATATGTATAACTGATTCACTTTGCTGTGCACAGAAACTAACACAACATTGTAAATCAACTATACTCCAATATAAAACAAAAAGTTTTTAAGTGTAAGACAAAGTGGTAAACTAAAAACAAAACAAAACAAAAACAAAAAAATCCCCAACACCTCCTCCTTTCTATTATTACTTATGTCTCTATATTTAGTCACATTCCCTCATTCTTCTAAATGGCATTTAAATTCAAATAGCAAAGATAGAGATCTTGCATCAAACAAGACAGAGAGCCTTCCTGTTAATCTGAGTATCAAAGAAGAAAAAAAGGTTTTAAGTAATGCAGTAAAACTTAAATACTGTAAAAAATAATGGCTTTTGCTACATTAGCAATGAATGTTTCTTTCTACAGTTTTTAAAACCCAATAGTTGCCAAAAAATATTATTCTCGTTCATAGTATGATCATTTATTTCTTCATTCCGGAAATATTTATCAATTTTAAACAAACACTGCTCACTGCTAGAGAGGGAAAAAAAATCTGCAAAATATCATTAGTTGACTCTTTTCGTTGAAGCTGGAATTAAAAGATATTTATTACATTGGAAAGTCAGGTTTATTCTTTGTGGCTGAGACTGATCAATATGACTGTAGGTGAGAAATACATAAAGAGTAAAACAAAAAAATCCGTTTAAACTAAGAAAATGTCACATATGTAATCTCACAAGAATATGAACTTCAGTTCAGCTTTTATTTTTATGCTGCTTAATTTTATATACATTACACGTATCATACATACATACTTGTTATACAAAAATTTATACAAAAATCCAAGTAATTTAATATCTTAAAAAGGGAGAGGGACATACTGCATTTGATTTCTGGTACTATCGTGTTTAAATACTTTTAAACTCAGATTTCAAGGAGACAACAAATCGAAAGCCATTAATTTTTCAGAAAGACATGTTCACATAAATTCATTATTCAAGTATATTTTTATTGAAACAATAAACCATCTGACTGGTTGCAAAGACAAGCTGAATAAGCCATGATGTTGAGCAAAAGCAGAGCTTTCTCTCTGTGCTTTCATCAGCCTAGAATCAGCTTCTAACATATGAGATGCAGGGCACAACCGTGATTTCTATCCTGACAGTATTAAATGCCATATCATAGGGCTGACAATGCACACCCTGTACGGCTTGTCTACAGAGTCTCATTAAAAATATAATACTAGAGGGGGCTTCCCTGGTGGCGCAGTGGCTGAGAGTCTGCCTGCCCATGCAGGGGACACAGGTTCGTGCCCCGGTCCGGGAGGATCCCACATGCCGCGGAGTGGCTGGGCCCGTGAGCCATGGCCGCTGAGCCTGCGCGTCCGGAGCCTGTGCTCCGCAACTGGAGAGGCCACAGCGGTGAGAGGCCCGCATACCGCAAAAAAAAAAAATATATATATATATATATATATATACATATATATATATATAAAAATAATACTAGAAAGAATAATAACAATAATTAGAAATTTTACTTTCCCTAATTTCTTTTTTACTCAACTTGAAAAACAGTACATCATTTTCATTGTCCTTGGCAACTTGACATCATACCTGAAGGAGTAATTTAAACATCCTATGGACAAAATACATAAGCTTCTAAAAGATGTTGGTATTGTTTAATTAATTCAGTTATAATTTCGTTCTACAGTTATCAATCACAGCAAATATAAAGAATTTAAAACAATATTCCTCACCAAAGTATTAACATGTTTTTAAAAATTGAACTGTTGAGGCATAAAAACATTATGCGATTTGCCCAAGGTCATGAAAGGAATGAGGGGCAGAGGAAGGAGCATTTTTTTTTCCTAACTGAAGTGTCTGTACTAAACTCTAGGTTATGCCACCTTGCAAAACTAGCTCAGTGCAAGAGATACAGAAACTAGATGCATTATTTAGGAATGTTTGTTTAACCTCCATTGCTGTTATTAATAAACTTAACTTTAAGAATCTATGTTTATGATACATTATTAGGAAATTATAAAAAGAACCATGATCATTTTCTGAATAATTAGGCATGTAACGAGTTACTGTTTAAATCTGACACAATGGATTGCAGAAACAAAATTGACAATACAGTGTTAAACGAGTTCAGTGAAAGATGCTTATTAACACGGTGTTTTAAAAAATACTAACTATAGAACCCACAAAATTTTGAAGACAGTCCTACAGACATAAACATATTAACATAAATGTATTAAAGAGTCTTCTAGTTGATCTTTTGTTTGTTATGAAAACGTTCTAGCAAAGCACTCATAATGTTTCCGGGTATTCTTTGGTGCTTATCAATCAAAGCTTGAACAGCATCCTTCGTCTATCAAGAAAACAAAAGAAAGGCCGTTATTCTTTTAGTTCTCAATGTAGATATGTAGTTAGTAAGGATTTTAATATACTATTACTTATGAGAAGTCTTCCCTAACTTAGCACCCATCGCTACTCAGAATAAATGATCTCCTTCTCAGCATGCCCATAGCATATTTCTTTTTTTTTTAATGTAATACTGTTTATTTAACTTCAAAACCCTTTCAGCATTCTAAACATACAAAAAAGTAGCAGAACGTTGCAAACTGTGTTTAGTACAGAAGGTTCTTGAACTTTCATTGATGCAGTGGTTCTTCCCTGTGCATAGCATATTTCTTATACTTACTTTATTACACTTGAATTACAGATACTGTCTGCATGGCAACTTTCTACACCAGGTTGTAAGCTCCTTAAAATACATCTTAGCATTTCTCCAGCACTGAGCACAGCAATGCCTTGCACATAATAAACACTAAAAAGAACTGAAGGGAAAAAAATCAGAAGAAAAATGTAGTAGGAAATTTTCTGGTAGGCAAATGGAATTTTTCACTCCTTTTCACCCATTAATAAATTTTTATGTATTTGTCTTTCATGACCATACACACCAATCGCATCAGGCAACGCGACAGGAAAAAGTGAGGAAAACTACGAACGAGCAGATATGCTTTAGTTCTTTACCCCAATTTCTAGATAATTTAATAGGAATTTAAATTAAGTCATAGCAATGGAAAAGTCAATTAGGATATATCAAGAAATCTTCTAAAACTATTCGTTCCCATTAAATTCATGACAAATTTCAACAATTTTTAATTTATTGTTTTTAATTTATTTTATTGAAGTATAGTTGATTTACAATAACAATTTTTACTTTAAATCAGTTTGTGGCTCTCTAAAAAAGCTTTTTCTGCGTGCACATAGTACAGGTAGGCACACCCGTACACACTTCTTTTCAGATGCTAACCTTTAGTAAGCCTTCTTTTTACAAATCTTGGACCTTCATTTATTTTTAAATATAATTAAGAAACCCTGGCCCAAAGATGTATTTTAAAAATATGCCTCTCTAATGCACAAGTTTTCACATCTGTGAGGTGAGAACAATTTCATACACTTACGATAAGGATTACGTGAAACTGAAGCCATGTCTTCAGGCACTGAGCACAGCGACTGACACACAGGTTGTGCTCTGTGCCATATATTTTTCGAATTCTATTCACTCACTCAGAAAATACTAGATGCTTCGGAAGCTATAACGTTAGTGAAACAAGTCTCTAATCTCAAGGAGCTCATAAGAAGCATAATCAAGGACAAAGTAGTTAGAATGTAGGCTCATTTGTGAGCTGTATCATCTGAGATGTGAAAAGAACACATCTGAAGTTCATCGGTGGCCGGTGGCCAGGGAAGTTTCCGTGGACGGGGTACTGTTTGGTCTGGGTCTCCCCCGGCCTGTGAGATTTCAATAGCAGTGAAGAAAGCAGCAAGAGCGAAAAGACCACAAGAAAACAGTTAAGCGACACGGAGAGCTGGCATTTCAGGTATGTGTTCATTTGCTGGGCACTATAAGGCTTTACAGGTAGGTTTCAATTAAATCACGAAGGGAGTTAAATACCAAGTGAAAAAGTAGAGACTTTGTTTGGTATGACTTGATGTATCAAGGAAGAACTCCTGGGTGGAGAAATATGAGGTCTGTGCATTAAGAAAATACAGCTCTCGCAAAGATCACTAATGACCCCCTTGTGTCACTAAATCCTACGGACATTCTTTTCATCTGACGTGACCATTGATCCTGCTTCTGGAACTCACACCCCTGGAGGAAAAGCTAGGTTTTCAGGACGCTCCCTTTCAACCGCCTTTTGCAGATTTACACTCCCCAAATCAAGCACTGACTATTCCTCCAAGGCTCAGTAAGCTTTCCACAGCGTAAATTACCATCCATTTGCTGCCGACTCCCAGATTTATATCTCCAGCCGCCCAGCCTCGGATAGGAATGTTCAATATGACTTCCCTTGAATGTTTTAAAGGCACCTCAAACTCAACATGCTTCAGCAAATGGCCATGAATCCAGCCCAGTAACCCAAACCTGGGAATCATCCTTAACAATTCCTGCTTCTCATTCATCGAGAATAAGAATCCATAGGTGGCATCCGTTAGCTCACCTCCCGGTACCACTCAAATCTACCCACTTCTCCCCACCTTCCTTCCACCTTAATAGGACATGTATATTATATATACCTGTACATATAAATAAATCTGTACTTAACGTATGTGTGGATGTGTGTATGCAGAATGCAGAGAGAGAGGCAAAGAGACAGATGGAAACAGAACAGATCTCTTTGAGACTGAGAGAGCTTTAAGGCCGTATCCCAAGTGCCCGCTGCAGCATGAGCACAGTGTATCTTAATTTAGATTTAGCGTCTACAAAATGAATCTTCTCCACAGTCGAATGTCTGAACAGTCTAGCTCCCATTTCTTAAATGAGGTTTCATTTCTACATTAATCTAGATGTTAGTAATTTTGAATTTGCGATAATCCAGGGATCATTATGCTACAGTTTATGCTTATATTGTAAACAATGGAGATTGGAAATTCAGGCAATGTATCCACAAAAGGAAAATTTCAAGTATTCTTTATTTCAAGTTTACTTTAGTTCAGCAATGACAACTTACCGTCAGAAATATGGATATGGCAACTATATATTTAAGGAAATTCCCTCAAGAAATTTTACTAAACTATGCTTTCGTAGACAACTTCTGTTACTTTAAATACTGATAATAAAGTACATAAAGTAACTGGAGACAGTAACTGAGGTATTTCAATGATTCAGGAAGGCCTCTTCTTTTTACCAGTTTGAATTGGTAAATATATAAATATATATTTTAACATCTAAAATATCTAACTCTACCAGTGCCATGAATATATTTCTCACTCATGAAAAATCAAGTCCCGGGAATATATATATATTCTCCTTAACTGAGAAAAATAAGGGAACAGGATTCACTTAATTTTAGACCTGGACGAAACCTCTGAGATATCTGTTTTAATCTCCCCATTCTACAGTTGAGGACTCTGAGACTCAGGGAGGAACATACCATTTACCCAACCTGACTCTGCTGCCTGGTGGGAGAGTTAGGGTTAGGACTCAGATCCCTAAACTTCCAGGCCAGTTTCTCTTCCCTCTCTCTCCACTACCTTGTATCTTAACCATAAAAATGGACGGTATTTGTAAAAAAGTGTTCCTAACTTGCTCTGACCCAATTAAATCCTAATAGTTAGGTGGGAAAAACCTTTTTAAAGAACAAAACAGAGTTCAGCTCTGCTAAAGGAGAATGCATTTGTCAGGGAGCTGCGGAGATGTGGTACAGGAACAATAAAGTGTGTGGGCAGAAGCAACATGACAGGCTGAGGGCTGAGCCCTGGTGTCATCTAAAGTCACCACCGTGAGGCATCACCTGGGGATGGGAGAAGTGCTGTGCACAGAGCCTGCCCGGACCGGGAAACCAGTGTTGGAGGGGTTTCCTTTCAGGAAAAGGATTGCTACACGCTCTGAGTGAACTCACTTAACCAGTTAGTAGAATACCTAGCAGGAGGTACATTTTCTCAGAATGAAGCTCACAGACAAGGAACATAATGTATCATTAATGTTACCTTTGTCAAGCTCATCTGATGTGACATTCTAGCTGCCTCAGCTGGGCATCCTTTCCTAAGTGCCAGACCTTGCTGAGCCCTGGGCATTACGGTTGCTCGTCTGCTCGGCCTCTTCTGGGCCATCCCTGTGGAAAGGATCCAGTCCTGCCCCGTTAACGCCCAGTGTGGCTGTGTGCCTGCCTCGGCCAGTGTCACTGCGGGTGAACGGCTACTTCCAATGGCCTCTCCTAAACAAAATCTGCTATTCACGGGCCGAAAAATAGAGTTCCCACTTACTTTTCCAGTTTCATCTCAACCAAATGCTCGCTACCCACTCAGCTAGTGAGTCCCCCAGTTTATTCCAGAGCTGTTATTAGCTGCTATTCCAGGAAAAACCAGGAGCTGGCTTTGGTCAGATGAGACTGGGCAAAGCTCTCTGAAACAAAGTTAAATAGACCTCTTTATTGCGGGGCTTCTTAGAACCTTCACGATGTTCACATGCTTTGCGAAATTCCTGAAGGCGAATTTATTAGGCACCCTTCCCAACCTCACTCTCCTAGTCCTATCGGGCTGCTCTACACTGTTGGTGTGTGCAGTCAACTTTCCTACCACTGTTCCTCTGTTGGAACTCTTCCCTCCTGCCCCAAGTCCGCATGTCCAAGTTCCGTCCGTCTTTCAAGACCTACCACAAATGCCCTCAATTCTAGGAAGCGTTTCCTATTTTTTGCCTCACAAAGCAGTCTCCTTCCCTTTTGAGCTTCTCCTGGTTTCACTCAAACTTGGCCTCCCTACTGCTTCTAGTGATCCTTCTAAAAGCAAACCTACTACATCAGTCATCTGCTTTCAGCAGCTACCCCTGGCTTTCAAGAAACAAAATCAAGGATGTGCCTTCGTGGTCCAGACACTCCTATGTTTCCAGCCTCATTGTCTATACTCTCTATCCCTTTAGCTACCCCAGACCACCCTCAACTCCCTGAAGACTTTACGCCAGTTCGTGCTGCCATCCTTTCATACGCTGTTTCCTCTACCTCTCTACTCTTCACCCAGCGAATCCCTTTTCGCCTTTCAAAACTGAATTCAAGCATCACTTCCTTCAAGGAGGCATCCCTGGTTTAATTTAGATGTCTTTCCTTTGTGTTTCCATAATACCCTAAAACAGCAGGTCTCAACCAGGGGAGATCTTGTCTCCCAGGGGATAATGGCAACGTCTAGAGATGTTTTTTTATTGTCACAGTGAGTGAGGGATAGCGATGAGATGCTGCCAGCATCTGGTGAGTAAACACCCTATGGTGCACAGAACAACCGCACAACAAAATACCAATAGTGCCCAGGTTGAGAAATCGCGCCGCAAGCACACCATCGTGCGAACGCATCGCCTTAAAAGCATCGATTTAGTTATTTACCTGCCACACTGGGCCACAAGTTCCTAGAGTAACAGCAGTAGCCAGCAGTCATGGAACACCTACTAGATGGCAGACACTGCTCTCAATGACGGATGTCCTCAATCGCATGTGACCCCCAGGGGTAACTCTGTGAGTGGGCTCCGTTCTCTCCCCTGCTCCCCTGCCCGAGCAAACAAACAGCGGCACTAGAACAATCTGACTTCACAACCCACACTCTTAAACATGATTCCATTTTCCTCCCAAGGTATTTCTACCAGACAAAAGCAATTTCTTTTCATGGAGGTCAAAGCTTTCTTCTTCTGAATATCACTTAATGAAACCTTTTAATTAATGGTGCCAAGAACTTTAACCTCAACACAACTGGCATTTTAGAAAGAACGGTTCTTTGTTGGGGGCGGGGCGGGTGTCCTGTGCACTATAGAATGTTTACCAGCATCCCCGGCCTCTACCCACTGGACACCAACAGCACGACCTCCTCCCGAGTCTCATCCGTGGTGACAATAAAGTGTCTCCAGACATTGCCAGATGTCCCCTGGGGGAAAAATCACCACTGATCCAGAACATGCTTGTAGAATTATTAATTTTTAAAATAAAACCTGAAATTACAAATATGTCCTAAAACTAAGAAAGAAAGAATAATTTACCTTTTCAGCTAGTTCTTCTGCCGTGATCTTTGGATCGTATGGAATGGGGTCACCTAAATAGGTGCGTAACTTCACTGGAAAACCTCCATACATTGGGGCAAACGGATAGCGGAACTTCTCATACAGCCACCTAAATAACCCTGTTTTAAAGAAAACAAAATCATTTTAATTGGCTAAATATTCTGAGCATGTAACTGTAAACTTTCAAATTAATTATGTAAGACTTAGAGGATGGAGGCAAACAGGATCACCTCCTGGCAATTAATACAATACTTTTTTAAAAGATGAGCTTTTCATTGATCGTAGCAAATGTACCACACTAATGCAAGATGTGAATAACAGAAGAAACTGGGGAGTGGTGAGGTTTGTGGGTACTCTCTATGCCCTCTGCTCAATTTCTCTGTAAACATAAAAATGCTCAAAAAAATAAGGTCTATTAATTAGGGGGGAAAGATGAGATTTTAAAAATGTAAGAATTTAAAAAGGTAAACTAATTACTATTATTGAAAAACACAGCATAAAGATTGCAACAAAAAGCTAGAAGCTAAAAAGTCTAGAGACTCACAAATACCTGAGTTACACAAACAAAAGAAAAAATGAAAGCATAAAATAAATTCAAGTAAACATGAGACTAAAATGCACCAATAAACTAAGTAAAGACTAAAAACATTACTGTAAACTAGGAAAAAGAATTGTTAATGCTAATGACCAACCATGAAATTTAGCAAGATTAAAAGTGGTAATAATGTAACATAAACTGACAGACTAAGACTAAGTTTAAAAAAAAAGAATCCAAAACATGACAAGCAACATGGAATACATAATTAAGAACTGCTGTGAGGGCTTCCCTGGCGGCGCAGTGGTTGAGAGTCCGCCTGCCGATGCAGGGGACGTGGGTTCGTGTCCCGGTCCGGGAAGATCCCACATGCCGCAGAGCGGCTGGGCCCGTAAGCCATGGCCGCTGAGCCTGCGCGTCCGGAGCCTGTGCTCCGCAGTGGGAGAGGCCACAACGGTGAGAGGCCCGCGTACCGCAAAAAAAAAAAAAAAAAAAAAAAAATGAATTGTACTGAAAGTTTAAAACACTTTATATATGGAAACACAGAATATACCATAAGACCCAAAGTAATACTCAAAAAAATATACCACTACACACCAACTTTTGAGATATCCAACTTTTAAAGTAAAAAAAGCAGTCAAAAAGAACTTTTTTTTTTTTTTTTTTGCGGTACGCGGGTCTCTCACTGCTGTGGCCTCCCCTGTTGCAGAGCACAGGCTCCGGACGTGCAGGCCCAGCGGCCATGGCTCACGGGCCCAGCCGCTCCGCGGCATGTGGGATCCTCCCGGACCGGGGCACGAACCCGCATCCCCTGCATCAGCAGGTGGACTCTCAACCACTGCGCCACCACGGAAACCCAGTCAAAAAGAATTTTAAAACCACTTTACAATTAAAGAAACAAAATTAGGAATAATTTCTGGTATGCAACTTAAATTCTAAAGAAATGATCTGAGAGAAAATTAGAAGGATTAATTACACAACAAAAGTTAAACATCACATCAATCTGCCTTTCCATTCCAAATTTGAAGAAAAAGAACTAAAAAAAACATAATGGAATATCAACAATATACCAACACAGACATAAAAGGAACAACAGAAGTTTAAGGTTTTCAGGATGGGATTTGTATGTGGGTGGGAACACTAACAATATAGCACTAGGGATAAAACATAATCAATCAAATATAATATATAAACCATAGGGTACAAAGCAAACTATAAAACTAAAAAAAAAAAAAAAAGAGACTTTGCAAAGAGAAAGCACATTGAATTGTTATCACTCTTATAGCTAGGTTCAAAGCTTACTTTGTTATCAATAAAGTAAAGGTAGGCAAAGAGAACTTTTCAATGTAAACCTATCATGGTTCAAAAAAAAAAAAACAAGAGGTAACCGAAATAAATTAAAGCAAAAGATATCTCCTTAGGTTGTTAATCTTAATTCAATATTTTCTTGTCTAAGAACCTGCTGTATAGCACAGGGAACTCTACTCAATATTCTGTAATGACCTATGTGGGAAAAGAATCTAAAAAAGAGTGGATCTATGTATATGTATAACTGATTCACTTTGCTGTGCACCTGAAACTAACACAACATTGTAAAGCAACTATACTCCAATAGAAATTAATTTCTTAAAATTTAAAAGAGATTTATGCAAACATATATATATATATATATATATATATATATACTTTTTTCAGGATAAATAGACTTTCAAATTCTGCCCCCCCCAATTTTTTTTACTGCCATCCATTTTTACAGCTGTCACTTCCTCAGGAATGAGTTAGGAAGACAGTCTTTATTTACAAATAAGTACATTTGTTTTAAACCTCAGCAACATGGTTTAACACAGTAAATTAGAAAATTCACTCCGTAATTTTAAAAAGCCCATGATAAATAAGCCTCAGTATATACGTGAGACTCTTAACAAAAATCTAACATCTAGAGCCGCCATTACTTAGAACCAGTTATCATTTAGAGTTTAAAGAGAAAAACATCTAAATAGTATATGCGTTTTCTAAAGTAATAATTCAAAAAGTTTTCCTGTAGTGTTCAAAAGCCCAAATATTTAAAATATTACATTCTAAATATTACATTATAATTAGAAAAACCATATGAATCAGAACTTACTTGTTCCTCCGAGGGATCTAAATCCTTCTCGAATATTTTGTGTAAACATAGGAATAATGGGCTAAAGAGAGAATTTGAATTAAAAAGTAAATACGTCAATCCATTTGATGTCTCTAATGCAAACTTTTGAGGGCCTGTTTAAGTTACAAAACCAAGGCATTTTAAAAATAAAGGTATACTGTTATCACCAGTGTGATTTATCAGACTAAAATTAACATGATCATTTGTAGAAAAATATAAATTGGAAACACTACCTTCTAGTGGTAATACATAATATTTCATTTACCGACTTTCCTATCATTCCACATGAACTCTTGAAACTCAAAATTAAGATTAAAGTGATCATTAATTTCATTAAGGAAAATGAATGTGATAATTAAACTGGTTTCAGTGGGCTACTGAAGAAAAAGTTTCAAAACAGAAATTCTCTCTATGGAGAAACTTACCTATGTTCAAATGACAAGTTTTAGCAAGATGCTGTCATGGAATTAGTGAAACACCATTTTTTTGTGAGCTTATTAAATCTAATAATGTTCAACATCAATGAAAAGTAAGTATAATACTCAACACCAAAAAAAAAGAAAAAAAAAGGAAAAACATATACATAAAAGAACTCTTTCTATCATTATTTTGGAGGATGTCTGCTCAAAAGTTCATGGTTTTTATTTTTCCATGAATATTATTGGTTAAATATGATTTTTTTTAAATGGAGACCTTATCTAAATGTCATGAAACAATGGATCAAGTAGCAAAGGATCATGTAAGGAAGTTACATCACGGCGAAACTGAAGTAGATAAAAAATTGAATAAAACACTTTAAAAAGGTACACAAAATATACTGAATTAAATGATGTTTTAGAACAGATAAAACTGGAAGGGGGGGCGAGGATCATTTTACTTACAGTCTACTATCAGCATTTGTTAATACAGAATTACTTGCCTGAGTGAGCAGGGTTTGAAACATTTAAATAAGCTGACATTTAAAAAGCCATGCCTTTTCAGCTTTGGAAAGCAGTCAAATCTGGTGGACTAAAGGAAAGAGTCTACAGGCACAGCTTTCTTCATAAAACATACTCCCTTTCAATCACCTAACTGATCATTTATTTATTATCTCTCTCCCCTCACGAGAAGCAAGACCCCCCATAGCAGAGACTTGGTTTCGTTCACTGCTGGAAACACCTAGAACAGTGCCTGGAATAAAGCAGGTACTGAAAGACAGTGTGACAGGTGAACTAAAGAAGGAATGAATCAACAGGACAGAGAGAAAATGCTTCTAAGGAATTAGCTTGTATTCTCTGAATACAAAGGGTAGGAAACAGGCAGCAGCAATTTTAAAACCAGAAAAGCCGGGTAAGGAAGAAGCAGTCCAATGAATAATTTAAAATCTGATGGAGTTAATTCACAAAGCTAACACCTAAGACAAAGTAGACTAGCTCTTTTGTAAAAAAATTCAGATTATGATTTTCCTAAAACCACCACTAGTTTTGTAGAATAAAGTGATGGTTGGAATCCTAATGTTTTAAATACTTCTACAATGTCTTTAGAGTTGAGAACTTAAGATGCCCAGGAAGGAACAGAAAGCTTTCAGCTCATATATACACAACTTTGCCTTCTCTGATCAGTGCTGCTAGGTTTTTGTCTACTGACTGGCATGAACCCCGAAGTTAGTATTGAAGGATGCACTTTATAAAGACTCTTCAGGTATATATATATCATCCTTTAAATGGCTAACTCTCCAGAAGCTGGGCATTTCTAGAAGATACTAAACAGGAGAAGGCTTACCCTACAAACTCAGTATTCCAGGCTATACCCTGGTTTCTAAATTTACATTCAAGCTTGCAGCCTTACAGCTGCAAGCATTACCTTATTACAACTTCATACTGTAGTTGGTTCCTTTGTTTGCGCACACTTTGTATAACAAGGTAGTTGCATAAGTAACCTAGAATCAAATTGATTACATGTATACATGTATCTCTGTACATGTATGTACACGTGTGTGAAGAGGTAGAGAATGTGTATTTTGTTAAAACTATTCTTGGGGAATAGAGCGTGGCCTTGGAGTCTTAACTTTGCCACAAAAATTTAAGTGGGAACCATTGGACAGGTCACTAAACCTGTTTCTTCATGTATGAAATGACAATAATAATAATTATCCCATCTCAAGGTTTTTATAGATTGAGATAATACATATAAACAATTTTATTGAAACGAACGCTATTTTCTTTTACATCTGTTATTTGTTTTCCAATTAGAGTAAATGGGCTCATTTTTTCCCCAAATTATTTAGCTACGAAATTACCTAAAAATTCTTAGCAAAGTCAGAATTCTCAGGAATTCACAAAATAAGAGTGATTTAGATTATATCAAAAAGCCTGTAACTTGCAGACGAGCCTTAAATATTTTCTGCCAATATTTTGTGAATTTCTGTTGATGACCTAGATTTTCACTTGAATTTCCGTTCCTCTGTTTCAATTTAAATGTGGTTAGTCTTGTAACAACAGTCGTAACTTTTTATTCAAAGTTTATGATAATTCTGTGAGACCTAAGAAGGGCTTTTTCAAATAAGCTGCTGGTGCCATTTACAACTGTATCCACATGTGACTGAAAGGCTTCCCTCGCGGATCTGCAAGGCCCTCTAATCTTGGGGTTGGCGGACTCACTGTGAAGTGTACCAGCTGCCTGCAGTCCTGAACTGTAAGCTCTGCTTCTGACTTGCTGTGTGACAGGGTCCCTCCATCCCTTCATCTCTGTGTGCCTGAGTCTCCTCATCTGTAACATTGGAATAATTACATATGTCACCTACTTACTGTACAGGGGTACCAACATAAAGCCTTTAAAAGTGCTAAGAAAGGTTAGGGTGGTACAAGATTTATCAGTGATGCAGTGCTATTTTGTAAATCAGCAACGTTAAAGATTTTTGTTTATTAACTTGTAAAAGGCTGTTTATTAAATTTTCTCAAGTTTTGTATAAAAAACCTTAAATTATCTAGGTTATCGGGTTTTTTTTTTGGCTGTGTTGGGTCTTCGTTGCTGCGCATGGGCTTTCTCTAGTTGCAGCGAGCGGGGGCTACTCTTCGTTGTGGTGCGTGGGCTTCTCATTGCGGGGCTTCTCTTGTGGAGCACGGGCTCTAGGCACATAGGCTTCAGTAGTTGTGGCACGTGGGCCCAGCAGTTATGGCTCATGGGCTCTAGAGTGCAGGCTCAGTAGTTGTGGTGCACGGGCTTAGTTGTTCAGCAGCATGTGGGATCTTCCTGGACCAGGGCTAGAACCCGTGTCCCCTTTATTGGCAGGTGGATTCTTAACCACTGTGCTACCAGGGAAGCTCTATCTAGGTTATCTTAATTAATTATCTAGAAACTCAGGGATTGATAAAAGGGCTTCTTTCTCTATATAATTTTTTCTTTCAAGACTTCTTCCAGGCAATGGTCCTTAAAACTGTAACTTAAGGATGAGGAATTAGAATTCCATGATCAACCTATGTGATTCCAAATCTATTTTTGTCACTTTTACCTTAAACCTTGGAAGAAATAGTTCTCTCAAAATACAAACCTGAAGACTGAACTATCTTTAAGTTTTTAGCTGTTATCATTGCTTTAATATACATTTACACTGATTATCCTTAATTTCGGAACAACTGTGCATATATCATCTTATATTCTACATTATTCATAAAGTCTAAGGTTTTGTTTTCTACCTTAGTACATAAGACTTTTTGGAAAATAAAATGGGCTATAAATTAATTTTCTGTATCATTAATACTATTAACATAGACTTAAATTCAAAAGACTCCTTTCTTGTAGTATTTAAAAAATCAATTCAACAAATGCAGAGAGCCTACTAAGTGCTAGTCATTGTACTAGGAATTCAGAATATAAAAGGTGGCTTTGTCCTAAGGGAGTTTATAATCTACTATAGGACAGTAGTGTTTAAATTTTTATGTTGTCCATTATTAAACACTTGGACAAGTACATTAACTTATACCAAGATCACATTGTTAAAGCACTATAGCAATAACTTACTTCTAGGAATTACATATACAAATATGTACAGAGAATAGAGCTCAATGTATTTTATTTTATTGTAACTCTGCAATTAAAAAATAAACGGAAAATGTCCATTCTTCTTCAAATGTTGCTTTTGGGTTAGAAGGAGTCATCCATAATCCTTTCCTTTTTAATCAAAAGTCTGTATCTGCAAGATGAACAGGCAAGCTAAGGGTGCAGACTGGTGTCTATATGACAGCAGTGGAAACACACACACAAAAAACAGAAATGTGAAAACATTAGCAGCAGTCCCTAACTAATTGGCCTGGAAAAAGAAAACCACCTTGTCAAGTGCCATGATTTCTTTTTCTGATAGACAATCTATAATGAAAACAAACAGAAAACAAAGAAGAAACATTCCATAAGTAATAAATGTTTCATAGGATAAAGTACAATACAGAGACCAAAAAGCTTAGATATACTTTCCAAAGCAAAAAAAACAAGATGGCATTCAGATTTTCCAGTTTACTAAGTAGAATAATTACGGCGAATCCCAGAAGAACACTTAATTTTATTGACAAATTCGTTCTTTTAAAAAGATCTAAATTCCACCAATATCTCTTTCTCATCTTTCTTCATACTATTAGAGAGCTGATCACATTTGCTGATGAAAAATGGTAGAAACCATATATTATTTGAGCTCTATTGTTATATAAATTGGTCACAAATGCAAGAGTTACAATGAAACCAACCAATAGCCATCACTGAAACATGCCAACTCAGTTGAACCAAAGGATTAAAATACACAGAGTTGGATTGATTATACTTATGAAAAAAAGTATAAGTGAAGGAATACAAAAAATTTCATAAATCTGATTAAAAGAAGCTGGATTTTGAAGCATAAAATAAAGCCTTGCTAGATATTTGCAGATTTCCAGGTTGAATTTTTTTATAAAGATGGCTTCCCACGCACAAGGAATATTTCTCTATTGTTATCTTAGAGTTACAGACACTAATTTTTAAAGTAGTGCAATGACAGTATCTAAATTCTGATATACTCTTAAGCTATTTAAGCATTTATTTTAAAGTAGACACAGCTTTCCTTTAATAATCAGTTTTATACAACTCACCACTTTTGCATCAATTGCAACCTGAGCGAAGCCTTTACGATTACCCCACACGATGTTGTAGGTCTCATCGCTAATCAGGGCTTCCCGAACACCACCTGGTGAGATAGCTAACAAGTGACCACTCCGCAGAATTTCAACACATTTTTCTCTTGGTCCATGTATAGCACAAAATACATCAAGTAATAAACTAAACCCTGTAAGAAACATTAGCATGAAGATATATCTTAAGTACTTCTTGTCCAATTCTTCAAGAGCAAAAATCTTCACAACCTACATAATGTACTATCTATACTTAAATCAGTAAATTCTTTTTTTTACTTTTTTTAAACCAACAACAACTCTTAAGGTTAACATAAGATTAATATTGCTGGTAAATTAATAGCTATGTCTCGCTGATTACTTTCTCAGTGATCACCTACTACTCTGGCTACATATTCAAATTCTTAATTAAAACTCATGGGACTTCCCCTGGTGGTCCAGTGGTTAAGACTCCATGCTTCCACTGCAGGGGGCACGGGTTCGATCCCTTGTTGGGGAACTAAGATCCCACATGCCGTGCTGTGTGGCGGCCAAAAAAAAAAAAAAAAAAAACACCTGGGAAAATAGGGATTCTTATTCCCATTTTACAGATGAGGAAAGTTGACTCAGAGAGTTAAGAAGCTTGCTCCAAGTCACACACCTAGCAAAGGGCAGGGCAGAGATTCCGGTCCAGGTATGTCTAGTCCAAAGCTCCTTCCACTGCATCTCATGGCCAAACACTGTCTACAGCATTTATTAGAGCAATCAGAAAGGACATCCCATCATCAATCACACATCTAATCTTCCATTAACCCTATAAGAAAGAGAATCACTCAAGAGAATGTGAGTCTGACTGCTCTAGCTCTACCAAAATTGGCAAGCCACAGTTAAATCTATTGAAATTAAAAGTTAGATACTGCTAATTCCACAATAAAAATTTTTTAAATCAACAATAATAGCAATATCATTAAGAGTTTTTAATAAAGTGAGTGATTGGCTCAGGAACAATTAATTCCAGTCTTAATATTATACAGTTTTTCAAATTATAGCTATTTATGGATGAAAGAAATAATCCTATCAGTAATTAAATATTTTAACCAAATCCTAAGCTGGAAATTTAGAGGACTGGTGTTTGTATACATTATCCCTTGAGACTGGGAAATATGGGGATGGAGAGTGAAAACTGTGCAGAATAACCCAACTTCTCATAGGTTTAAGGATATGAAGCAAGATTATCAATATTATTGAGAAGAAATAATTCTCATCCTATACTATGTTAAAAGTTCACTGATTTCACTAGATGTATTCTCATAATAAACGAATAAACAGGGGAGGTTTAATAAATTACAAGATCATAAAGGGGGAAATTTTTAAGTCAAATGCTAAATAAAAAGATTCACATTTATTATTTATAAAAAGAAAGAAAAGTAAGCAACCTAATGTTCCATAAGAGAAAACTAGTTAATATTTTAGTCATATATTTAAATTGTTATTTATAAAACATGGGAAAATGTTAATGCTACATTAAGTTTTTTAAAAAAGAACAAAACAGTTTGCATAGCCTGAAGATGTGCAAATTAAAAATGAAGCAAAATAGGGCTTCCCTGGTGGCGCAGTGGTTGAGAATCTGCCTGCCAATGCAGGGGACACGTGTTCGAGCCCCAGTCCGGGAAGATCCCACATGCCGCGGAGCAACTAGGCCCGTGAGCCACAACTACTGAGCCTGCACGTCTGGAGCTTGTGCTCCGCAACAAGAGAGGCCGCGATAGTGAGAGGCCCGCGCACCGCGATGAAGAGTGGCCCCGGCTTGCCGCAACTAGAGAAAGCCCTCGCACAGAAACGAAGACACAACACAGCCAAAACTAAATAAATTAATTAATTTTTTAAAAAATGAAGCAAAATAAATCAAAATGATAACTGGATATATGTTAGGGGGTAGGACCATATAATGATGTTTTTCTTTCCTCTAGTTTCCAAGCTTATTATAAAGTGATCATATTACTGTCTAAAGAAATACCTTTTATAGCCAATTTAGTTTATACACAAAGTACAAATGGCTTTTTAGTGACACAAGGATGCTGGAAACATTAACCATGTCTATGAAAGGCACTAAGAGAACTGTTATTTCATTCACTGTCTCGTGTTTATCTGGTTGATGGGTGGCTTTTGCTTTTACAATTCCAGAGAACATACCATAAACTTTCTTGGCTTGTTTCTGGTGACTTCCTGACAGAAGAAAATAAGATTTAATCTTAATGAGTTTACTTTAGAATGATTTTTTTAAAAACTCTTATCATGTTTGAAACCATTCAGTTTATTAATCTTTTTAAAAAGGTACAAAGCCTTTAATGAATATGAATATTTTAAAAAATGTAGTCCTCAGTCTTAAGAGTTATAATTCTACCAAGCAAGTCAAGTATGATAAAAGACATAATAGGCTCTTTAGGTTAGGATCTCTGAGGCAATATTATATGATTATATAAAGACAAAATATATCCTGGCTAACTTATTTTAACTTTGATTTGCTATCAAACTGACAGTAATCAAACACTAATTACTATAAAATTAAACTCCCAGATCAATATCTCATAGAAAAATTCACCATATGAAAAATCAACTACCTCCTATACCAAAATACAAATTAATTGTTTGGCAAAAGTTACAATTAACTTCAAAAAATAATGACTACCTGTTAATAGAGAAAGAAATTAGATAACATTTTTGGCCACAATGTTTTTATATTTAGGTATATTACCTAAAACAGATACTAAACTCAAAGACATACAGACTGTCACATAATTTGATCATGTTAATTAAACATTTTTATATCACCAGCTACAGTGAAAGTTTACCTGGAATTTTAAAAACAAAGTGATCAGCTACTACCCGGCAAGTTCTGCCTTTATGGATAAAAATTTTAGCCATGAAGTAGTAAAAATCGATGGGAATAGCTCCATGATAAAAAATGATCAGTGCTGGCCCTTCTTCTGGTATTTTTTCCATCCCATGAACTTCATAACCTGTTAGAAAGACAAAATACAGATACTTAAAATGTATTTAATATTAGTTTATTTATACTAAAGGATGGTTACTAACTCAGACACTCAGTCTTTCTTTCGGGAGCACAAGCCCCCCTGTGTCCATCCACTTTCCCCTTCCCTCCCTCCCTGAACATATCGGTCCTACAGCGGTTGGGTGGGCCGGCGTGCAGTAGGTGCCTGGGTGAAGGGTGGCCTGTGGTGGGTGCTGGAGCCCAGGCAGGGCGAGGAGGGCATCCATACAGGGTGGCCCGGGATGGCGAGTCAAAACCCAAACGGTCACGAGAGCCCACACACAGGAGAGGAGCCTAGAAAGGGTGCTGGGGCCCGGGCGGGCAAAGGAGGGGAGCCACGTGGCATGAGGATGGGGGTCAGAACCCGAGTGGAGCAGGGTGGTGTCCCTGAGTGGCAGGGGACGGTGGCAGTGATGGGAGACTGATCAAATCAGTTTACATATTAAGGATAATGTCAGCCTGGTTTCTCACTGTTGGAGAAGGTTAACAGTCGCAAATACAGAAAAGGAGAAAACTAAAATCAACTCTGCAGCCGTAAGAGAACCTCACTCCCACCCTAAGAAGGAGAAGAAGCAGCACGTTAGAAAGCTGAGGTCGCTCTCTCAGCCGCGTGGGAGGGAGGGCGGGCAGGTGCCACAAAAGTGGGAGAGGAGAAAACAACCAAAATGTTAACAAACACTTAAAGACCGAATGTGGGCGAGCGCTAGGTGTTGGATCCCCGGGAACCCAGAGACAAACAAGAGTCTGCACCCACTCCCCAGCCTCACGCAGGCCTCAGCGCGTATGCACGAGAAAACCAGGGGCAGGGCAGGCCAGAGACTCACGAGAGACCCTGCTAAAGATTCAGAGAACAAAATCCCCCTCGCTTCCCGGAAGCTTCTCTTGTAAAAGCAAAACCTGGCCCAGGGAGAAGCGCAGGAAAGCCTTCCACCGCTTCTAAGAACCGGTACTTGCCAAAGGTATCTGACGCGGGCAGGGACAGAGTTCCACTCCCCACCGTCCTCTACCACTGAAGGAATAAACTACTTGGTAATATTTCAAATGGGCTCAAGAGAATGTTTTTAAAAACTAAATGTAATGATATTTCAAGATTCTGTATGTGTCTATACTTTTAACATTTCTTCCCAATTACCGAATTCTAATTCAAATAATTCAATTTACTTAGAACAGTCACTGAAGTTGTCTGACGTTATCCAAAGGATCGATTGTCCCATCAGATAAATTTTCCAAGAAATAAAGAATACTTCTTTCAGGGATTCTATACAGCATATTCCTGAGGTTCTCTCTTGTTTTCCAGAATACTTTTTTTTTAAAAAAAAAGAATTGAGAAATAATTGTTACTTAATACCAGGTCACCTGATTGAAAGTAGAAAAATTCAATGAATCAATTCATTATTGACAAAAACTAGAGTTTACCATCGTGCCACTAAACATTAAGCCCCAATATTCAACTGTGTCACTCGTAAAGCGTGGATGTGGTCATACCGCCCCTCGCTATAAAAGCACCAGCAGATAATCACTCTGGTCAACGTCAAGGCCTTTTAGGTCCCAATTACCGATCAAGTGATGTCAGATTCTTTCGGTGTCACGTGGACTCAGGGCGCCTCCCTCCTCTGTGCTGCTCACGTGACCGTCTCTAAAGGAGCACTTCCTGTCCCATGTTTCCCTGTCGAGCAAAAGCAGAAATCCTGGGGCACGTTACCTGCTCCTCGCTCAGACTCTGTATTCCCCTGGTCACCAGCTTCTGTGCGTTTTACCTCCAAAAACTCTTAAATCTATCACTCCCTCTTCCCAGTGTTGGTTTTGAAGTGTGGCCCCGTCCTCTCCTGCCTACAGAACCCCAGTCCTGGGGATCTGATGGGCAACAGCAGCTCAGAGAACGCAATCGGGAACGCAGCTACCGCCACCATCCGTCCATCCGCTGTCCAGGGACGGGGAGCCTCCGTATGCACATTTTATGCACATTTCGAGTGGTCTGGGCCCCTTCAATGAAAACAGCCCTACTCTTGTGACGATTGCGGTTCTCTTATTTGATGCCAAGAGATGCGCATTTATTTACCTCCCCTGCTCTGTCCCCTGAGCCTAAGCACTCTCCAGATTCTTTGGCGAGGATCTGAAGGTCACGGGGAGCTCAGGTAGCCTCATCTATCTCCAAAGCAATTATTTATTATGTAAATGAGTTACTGCCTACTGGCTTTAGACATCAGCATCATGAATCCAGATAAGGATGATCTTCTCCTAAGAGATAGATCCTTTCTAAATTTGTCACCAAAAATCCATTTTCAAGGCTATACGCCTACACACTATGGTAAAATAACAATACCATCCTTTTGAGTCTTCCTCCGGAAAGCACACAGAGGCAAACTACCTATAAAATAAAGTCAAACTCCTGAGCATAGCATTCAAGAGCCTTTAAAGCCTCATTTGTCTACTTCTCCAGGTTCATCCTTCCGCATACATCTCACCCATGAATGATTCATCCTTCTGGTCCTGAATATACCCTGCATTTTATTCAGTACTGAGGTGTGCGCATGTTTTAACCTAGGTAGTTTCCTATTAGGACTACAGTAATGAATCTCAGTTTTTCCATTCAACAACGTATCTTGGACATCTATTTGATATACACATGTAGCGATTTTTTAAATGATTTTTTTAATGGCTGTAAAGTATTCCATAATGAATTCCTATCACAGTTCATTTAGCCATTTTCCTATTTAGGGACCACTGGATTGTTTCCAATTTTTCAAATATTGGTTGCAATGAACCTTCATTTATATGCATCCTTGTGCACTGAATGTGTGAATTTATCACTAGACTGGATGCTAAGAGAGGTAACTGTTGATCATGTGGTACACGCCCATTTTAAATTATAACAGAAACTACCAAATCATCCTCCTGACTGGCTACACTGCGGTACTTTCTCACAGGTACTGAGTGAGAGTTCCCATCTCCACATTCTCATCCTTTAAGGTCAACAAACTTTAATTATTTGCCAATCCTCTGAGTAAAAACGCTATCTCAGTGCAGTTTTAATGTGCACTTTCCTAATTACTAGTGGGCTTATGAATCTGTTATAATTATTGGCATTTATATTTAGGCCATTTTTAGACCACACGCTTAGACCACTTTTAAGTTGGATTTCTTTTCTTACTAATTTATTATTTTCTAAGCCGTGTTGTAAATGACTTGTGGTGATCTGCCCCATATTTTCATGTGTCTTTTAGTTCTGTCTTTTTTGAACAGTCTTTGTTTTTTTGCATCTTCTTTAAGACCTTCCGTAGTTGGAGATCATCAAATATTTTCCTATATCTTTTCCTGCTGATCTGGAATACCACTTTTATCATTTACTAAATTCACATTTCTGACTTTTTAATCTGTTTGATCTGTTTGTGATGATCCTTTCCCTGTACCAACGCCGTAATTTTAATCATTATAAATGCTAATGGTTTTGATACGATAGGGGAAAACTTCCTCTTTTGTTTTTTCAAATTTGTCTTGGTTATTCTTGTTTGCCCTTTCATATGAATTTTAGACGTTTGATGAAAACGTGTTAGAAGTCTACTGAATTGGTAAAGGAACTGGGAGTGTGGGCTGTAGAGCAACATCTCTACTACGCTGAGACTCTCTATCCACTTCACCTTTTCTGAATTCCATTTGTAAAGTATACAGTTTCTCCATAAAGCTTTTACGTGTTTTTTGGTTAGATCTAGTCTCAAGTAGCATTTTTCCTTTCCATTTTAAAAATGATTATTGGTGGTATATGAGTAGTTACTAATTTTGTGTTTATCATATGCCCATTTCCCTTGCTAACTAATCTTATTAGTACTGATAGGTGGATTCACTTGGCTTTCAGGCATCTCTTCTTTTCTCGTCTCTGTACTTATTTCTAGGAGCTCCAGGACAATGTTAAATAGTAGTGGCGAGAGCCTCCTTGTTCTGGTCCCTACTTATGGGGCTCGCTTTAATACTTCTCCACTTCTCCAATGTGGATCATCTTTGTTGAAGATTCCTGGTACATTCCCTTTATTGAAGTAGTACCTTTTAGTCTTTGCTTCCTAAGATTTTTTTTTATTATAACTATTGAATTTTATAAAACTACATTCTATGAGACTGACCTGCAAATCTCCTTTTTGTGTTCCCCTTAGTTTCAATAGCAAAGTTCTGCTAGCTTTGTAAAATAAACTGTGTAGCTCCACATTTTTTCCTACACTCTCAAACACAGATGGGCATTATCTTGTTCCTTAAAAGTTTAGTGTAACTTGTGGGCTCTCGGCCCTTTGTGAAGGCAGGAGGACAGACTTTGACCACTGTTCCAATTTATTTCATGATTACTGGTCTGTTCTGTTTCTCTCTCCTTCTTGAACCAATTTGGATCATTTCTCTTTTCCTGCAAAACTGTCTATTTAATTTTTAAACAAAATGGTGTGAAATAGTTACTCAATTTCTTTCCCACTCATTCTTCAAAGCCTTGTTCAAAAGTTACTTTCTCCATGAATAGTGCTTTCACTTTTGTCCCATAGAAACAAAAATGAACATTTATGGAGCATTCACCTGACAGGCACTGTATTGGATCCATAATAACTATCTCATTTGGTCCTCACAGAATCCCTGCACTGATGAGAAAACCCAAGTAAGAAAAGCCCATGTAACTTACTCAAGGTCACACAGTGGTACGGCCAGGACGCAAGCCCACATGTGTCTGACTCCACGGCCTGTGCCCTTCCCCACACCACACCTCCTACTAGAGGTGTGCCCGTGCTAATCTGCACCTGTGATTTTCAAATGCTGGTTGCCATCCCCCATTGAGTTATGCAATCACTTTAGTCAGTTATAGTCAGCATTTTTCTTTTTAAATAAGAGAGAGTAGAATAGAAACTAGAGCAGATCGCATGAAGACAGTATATACACTTTTGATGAAATAGTATATACCTGTATGTATATACTGGGTGGCAAAATGCATTTCTTGCTAGCAATAAGAATCAAAACTTTGATAGCCTAAAAATATACCTTGAAAATACTAGGAACCTTGAACATAGTAGGTGTGTGAAGTTGAACTTAATAGTGACCAAGAAACAAGTGATGTATTTTAGTGCTTTCCAAATTATTGGAGAAAGATGCTCTGTAATGGTGATAGCTAACATTTGTTGAACTTTTATTATGTAATAAAAATTATTCTAAGTACTTTACATCAAGGCGCAGTGAATCCTTCCAACAACCCATTTTACAGAAGAGGGAAATGAAGTCCAGAAAAGTTAAGTATCTTGTTTGAAGAGAAGGGTTATTTACATAGTCTTAAAGGAGTTCTCCCAAGACATCTATCAATTACAAAGTAAAAAATAGCAACTTTGTGGTGGAGAAACCTAACAGACACCTCCTTAACCACGTGATCAAAGTCACCATCACCAATAATAAAACATGTCAACATCATGAACCTCGGATACCATGTGCTGAGAAGGACCCACCATCAGAGGGATTCTTATCAAAAATGCACAACTTCAATCAATTTATGGAAAACATCAGATCTAAATTAAGAGACAGTCTACAAAATCACTGAGCAGTACTCTTCAGAAGTCTGAAGGTCATAAAAGACTAAAAAACCCTCAGAGATTGGAGGAGACGTGACAACCAAATGCAGGATGGGATCCTGGTAAAAGGACACTGGCAGGGAAACTGGTAAGATGTGAATAAAATCTGTAGTTTGGTTGATAGTATTATACCACTGTTAATCTGATAACTATACAAACGGTTATGTAAGATGTTAACATTAGGGGAAGCTGAGTGAAAAATAGGAACTCTGCACTATTTTTGCAACTTTTCTGTAATTCTAAATTTTTTTTAAATGAAGTTTAAAAAAATCCTAATTGTTGCAAAAGGAAGGGAGGAGGAGGAAGACGGAGAAGGGAGGGGAGAAGAAATCAGGTAACCTGTCCAAGGTCCCCCCGCGGTGACTGGCAGGGCCTCCTTCGAACTCAGGAGTCGGACCCAGGAGTCCTTCCCTGGGGGAAAGACAGAGGAGGGGAAAGGAAACTCTTACCCAACTGAAGGACAGCGGGAATGTTCTCCTGAAATCCCAATTTAATTTTCCCATAAAAAACTCTACTACATATGGTTTAATTTATAGAACGCTTTTACTGAATAAAATATGTCCATTTCTTTAAAAATTAATAGTAAAATGTGAAGTAAAAAAGTCAAAATTTTTATAGTTTAAAGGCTGTAAGCAACTTGAGGGTAGGGGCTTCACTGACAGACTACCTAGAAATGCAGGTATCTAAGAAATACCAAATTCATGTTTCTTGATGTAGGAGAATCAGATTCTTTTGAAAAATGATAAAGCACTTACTTAATATACATTAGAGGGTAAAATTTAACTTCAAAACAGGAAACACTGGATAGATTCTTAAACAAAGATACTTATAGTAAACCAGTTATAAACAAACAACAGCTCAATAGGTAAGTAAATTAGTTATAGGATTTACAGAGTCCATATAGTCATTATAAGTCATGTAAGGAGGCTTAGGGACATGAAAATACTAGTCTGCCACACAAATAAAAAACAATAAACACACAGAATTCAACTGCATGGTAAATTTTAGGTGACTATTATTTTCTTCTTTATTTTTACTCGCCACATTTTCTAAAATGAACATTTTTATTTGTTAAAAAATTCCTCTGAAGATTCTTTACAAAGCATAAATTAAAACTGATTTGACATCAAGACAAAATCCAAATATGCACACAAATGCCTTTTGTGTGTGTCACTAAAGAACAGAGTGAAGAAAATCATTTTAAAAAGCATCACTTATCTTACTAAAATATGTTAAGTTATTATAAATAAAACATTAAAACATGGTAAGAACTATATATTTTACTTCCTCTGAGCCAAAGGTGCATATTTTTAAATACCTCAGAAAAATAAATACCTCAAAATTATATATGCTGCTACAAAATAAGTTTAACACTTGAATTTATCCACATTAAATCATGTCTCCCGAAACAGAAAAAAATTCAAATTCCTTACAATATATATTACCCTGAAGTATAGGGGGTTATAAGTGGGAGGGGGACATCGTTTCCCGAGTACTGTAAACGAGGCCACTGAATTTCTGTCTCACTGCCTTAAAGACAATGAACGAGAGCAGTCCACATAGGCACGGTCTCTGGTCACGGAATGCTGAAACAGCATCCCACCTCCGGTGAACAACCACGAGCAGGTGTGAGAGTTGTACGGACGGGCAACGGCCTTCGTATTCATGGGTAAATACTATGAATTCAACACATCGACGGCATGTGGTTCCTGTTTGCAAAGCTGCTGTCTGTCGACCACTACACTCTGACCCTGAGCCCAACCAGGGACAAGCCTGTGGCGCAGCACAGATCAGAGGAGCACAGGCCTGGAACCAGGAATCAGAGGCTGCATCCTGGCCCTTCTCCCTGGTGTCCTGGCGTGCCTCGGGCACATAACAACCTCGCTGTTCTTCAGTTTCCTTATGGGAAAACTGTAAAATGGAGATAACACGTGGACTCTCTCTACAGCATTATAAGAGCTGATGCATGATAAGCATTTGACTGTAGGGCACAGTCAAGTGCTCAAAAACGATTTGTAGGCCTATGTAGGATTAAAATGACAACACGTCAGCTGAATAAGTCACACAGCAAACGGAAAACGGGTACATTTTGGTATATATATTCTATCTAATTTAATGTTATTACTATTTAATATTATTTTTCATTTTTTAAAAATCTCTACACTGGGAAAGTCAAACTTATTTTGAACAAAATGGAAGTAAACGCAAAATAAAGCAATTTCAAAACAGTTTTCTATACTGTTTTAATTCATCTCTTACTCTCTTAGATTCTTAACTCTTAATTTTTTATTTGAGCTTAGAGTAATAGTCTACATTATTACGTGGTTCTTTGTTTAATGGAAACTAGTGTGCTCAGAAAAAATCATTTTAAGAAAGACATATATATGCACAATGCATGCAAACAGGTAACAGGAAATAGTAACTAACCCTTCCATTATATTTTTCAATATTTCGTCAATCAACAAAATGGAAGGGTAACACGGTTTCAGCGCCACCCACACGAAAAGGAGCCCAAAACTCAAAGTAATCTCGCTTACCGTGCCAGACGGCCGCGTGTCCATCCCACAGCGTTGCCACCGTCTTCCTGGCACCGTCCCATAAATTATGAGAGTAAGCTTCTTTTAATACATTCTTCCTCTTATAAATGTGTAAGAAAATAATAGTAAGGTAGAGAAGAAAGATAGTAAAGTAAGGAAGTATTAAAAGTATGAGTGGTGTAAAAACCCACAAGAGATAGTTTGCAAAATTCCAGTAGTCCTCCAGTTGCTCCACACCAAACCATTCTTCAAGTACGTGGATCAGACAAGTCATGGAGGGCATGGAATCCTGTCCTGTCCCACAGGTTTGATTTTTGTCTATCATTTTTCTTTAGGTGAAAATGACAAATTCAGTCTCTTTCTTCGACGTCATGGCAGGTCTTTAATTTAGCCACTAAAAGGGAAAAAATAATCCCAAGTTATTCTCTTCACAGCTGAAATGTTAAATGTTTTAGCCTACATGAATACTGTGTAGTCATTTCTTAATACCAAAAATGAGTAGATTGTTAACAAGTTAACTTTGTTGCAGATTTAAATGTGAAAATGGGTTTCATTTGTGAAGAGTGTTGGGTTTAGCTTCTGAAATAACTCACAAGCTACAATTACAAGAGGAAAATAAAGCTGATGGATGAAATTTCAGATTGATCTTAATAATTTGACTTATATCTTAATGGATCACACTGAACGTTTGTTATCTTAAACGAGGTTATGTTGAGATAACTGTTCTTCATAGAAGAAAGCATCAATATCTGATTCAATAGAAGTAAAACCCAATTCTTAGGAAACGATGACATACATTTTTAGATATTACCTTTTACAAGCAAGTTTACAGAAAAGCTCTCTGTTCCTCTGACATTATACAATAATACAAATTTGTCAGTGTCATTTTTATCTTATAGTCACTAAAATTTCTCTTGTATCTTAAATGATTGAAAGAATACAGCGTGGGGCTTCCCTGGTGGCGCAGTGGTTGAGAGTCCGCCTGCCGATGCAGGGGACGTGGGTTCGTGCCCCGGTCCGGGAAGATCCCACATGCCGTGGAGCGGCTGGGCCCGTGAGCCATGGCCGCTGAGCCTGCGCGTCCGGAGCCTGTGCTCCGCAACGGGAGAGGCCACAACTGTGAGAGGCCCGCGTACCGCAAAAAAAAAAAAATACAGCATGCAATTATTCTATGTCATTCTCTAAACCATTCACTTAACTTACCAGAAATGAGATAAATATCTTGTCCCAAGCTTCAATGTCTGTATTCTGAAAAACACAGTATATAAAAGGAAGAAAAATGATTTAAAAAAAGATAATCATTAATACCCAGAGATAGAATTTCCGTAAAATACATGGCAAGACACATTCACCAATGTGTGACAATTATGCTTACAGCCCTATACTAGTATATCACAATTAAAAATTATACTCACACTGTCTATACGCTGTTGTAGTTCCACACTATAAAGCCCCACCTAAGACATTTTTTAAATTCACAGCTATAGAAACTTCGCTTCTTCAGAGAAAAAGTATGAAGTTAAGATGTGTAACAGACTCTGTCTCTTTTTAGTCATTGCCAGATAACGAGCTGATGGTCAGACATGACATTCGATGGTGCAGTCACATCAGCCTCATGGTCATGTTCTCCTACAGAAGATTTCCTTCTTCCATCACTGTTTTCTCTGCTTCTGATTCCACCCTTAGAGATATTTTATCATTATTCCATACCATATAAACTTAATGAAAATCATCTCAAGTCCTTTGAGGATGAGGCAGGAAATGAAAAAATGAAAGAAAGGGATGGAGGGAGAGGGAGAGACAGATGTACAAGAGCAACTACATGTTGTCTTGAAGCCAAGATTATCTTGCTGATAACTAGCATGTTAGCAGGGCACAGAACTGACTTGTTCTTCCAGCGTTAGAGGATTTAGTCCAGTTTCCTTGTAACCAATAGCATTTATCTGTGAGAAACCTGGGCCTGTTACGGTAACAGAAGGTGGACACAGCACACATTAAGCCCACAACCTGTGTTTTATTTACATCACATTTTAATCAATCCATCTAAAGAGGCAAACTGCTAAAATTTACCAGTGTTTGATCATTTAGCGTGCAACAGAGCAAAACTTACTACTTTTTAAAATGAGAGCTTTCCTCACTAGGATGGCTATATTCAAAAAAAAAAAAAAAAAAGGAAAATAACAAGTGTTGTTGATCATATGGAGAAATTAGAACCTTCATACATTGCTGGTGGGAATATAAAATGGTGCGGTCACCATGGAAATCAATCCTCAAAAAGCTAAACATAGTTACCATTTGACCCAGTAATTCTAGTCCTAGGTATACACCCAAGAGAACTGAAAACATATATTCACACAGATATCTGCATACAAGTGTTGACAGCAGCATTGTTCATAATAGCCAAGAAATGGACAACCCAAATGCCCATCCACGGATGGATAAAAATATGCTATGCCCAGAAAACAGAATATTATTCAGGCACAAAAAGAAATGAAGTACTAGCTCATACTACAATATGCGTGAACCCTGAAAACATTATACTAAGTAAAAAAAAGTCAGATACTGAAGGCCACACCTTGTATGATTCCATTCACATGAAATACCCAGCACAGGCTAATCCACACAGACAGAAAGGTCAGTGGCTGCCAGAGGCTGGGGGAGGGGGCAATGAGAAGGGACTCCCAATGGAAACAGAGGTGCCTTTTGGGGATAATGAAAATGTTCCGGAACTGGATGGTGGTGATGGTTGTACGACCTTGTGACTATACTAAAAACCACTGAGTTGCACATTTTTAAATGGTGAATAGTACGATGAATTGCATATCAACAGAAAGAGCTTCCAAATAGTAATACATTAAAGTTTATGACAGCCTCTCAAATATGTTAGAAGAAGCTCTTCCCAGGCCTGAAAACCAATCATTTTGGTGATCTGACCCGTACTGCTTAATACAATTGTCCCAATAATCTAGTCTCAGGACTTGCCTGGCGCTCCAGTGGTTAAGACTTCACCTGCTAAAGCAGGGGGCGCAGGTTCAATCCCTGGTCAGGGAGCTAAGATCCCACATGCCTGGCAGCCAAAACACCAAAACATAAAACAGAAGCGATATTGTTACAAATTCAATAAAGACTTTAAAAATGGTCCACATCAAAAAAATCTTTAAAAAAGATCTAGTTTCATTTCCAATTTTTAATAGGATTGTAAAATCTTGTGATTTTAAAACCCTCTTTAGTACCTCGTGCCACCCAAATTGGTAAAAGAACTATACCTCTTGTCCATAGTTATGTTCTGATTTATTACACACACTTAACACACACAGTAGAGGGGAGAGGGACAGTGCAAAGGCAGACACCCAGGGACAGAGGCTATGCGGACCCCTCACAAGATCCTGCCGTCTGCTAACAGCGTCCAAGTGCTGCAGGTCCAAGGACCTGCTCCAAAAATGATCAACCCAGATTTTGATTTAAAACCTTCCAGAACAGAAAACTCAAAAGGTGCCCTTTCCACCATCAGAACCGTTCATTGAAATGCTAAAAAGACCTTCCTTACACTTACTTCCCTAGAATTTTCCCCATAGACCTAGTTCTGTACCATTGAAACTCTCCCATTAGACAACCTCTTAAGTTTTAGGACAGCTATCACAAAGCTACAAAAGCCTCTTTTCTAGTCAGAATCCTTATTAATCCTTTCATCCACTCCTGAGACCTGGTTCCGTAACCTTTCACCACTCGGGTCACGCCCTGTGACTGACTCTGCTTATCCAATATGGAGCGGAGCAGGTAGAGTAACCCACCTGGGCCTGGGTTTGCTAAGATCTATAAAACTGGGATAACAGTAGAACTTAGATATACTACATTAGATGATGGAGGTGCCATGGAGACAACATCCTGCAGGCAAGGGGGTAAGGAGAAGGCTGCTACGTTATACAGCGTGGTCTGGGAAGGCTTCTCTAAAAAAGGATGTTTGAGCAAAGACCTGAGGATGTGAGGAAGCAAACCGTGCGGGCATTTGGAAGAGAATTCCAGCTGAAAGAACGGTGAGTACAAAGGATGTGCACTTGGAGGGGTCAGCAAAGCAGTCGGGTTGAGGAAGAGGGAGGGGGCGGGGGGGGGGGCGCAGTCAGAAGTGAGGAGCACTGCAGAACTCTGTGGGCCAGCTTTCACCTAAGTGAGATGGAAAAGGCACCAGAAGGGTGGGTTCTAAATGACTGCTGTGTTGAGAATACACTGCACAGGGAGCAAACAGGAAGTTATTGCAGTCACTGAGATGCGTGATGAACAGGTGTGCCAGCGTGCGGGCTGTAAGACATGATCAGCTTCTGGATGTATTTTGAGGATAAAGCCAACAGGATATGCTGGTGAATCCATGTAGAACGTGAGCGAGAGAAGTCCGATATGGCCTCACGGTGTCCAGGCAACATGGGTTTGTATCCTGGGAGGCTCTGCCACTGACTGTGTGACCCAGACAAGTTACGTAGCATCAGTTTCTCCATCTATAAAATGAGAACAGCACCTTCCTAATGAGACTGTCGTGAAGAAAGCTCAGAAGCGCGCCTTCCACCATAAAGGCAGTAAACCAGCGTTACTCTCATCATTGTTAGCTTGCTTGTGAGCATGGACTTGCCACAGACAGGTTTACACACCCCAGGAATTCCTGGCCATCAGGGATTCAGGTCTGAACACGCTAAGATTCTACTGGACATCCACGTGGAGATGGTCAGAAGGCAGCTGGACACAAGCAGAGTTTAGCGGGAAGGTCAGGGCTAAAGAAATATACCCGAGATTCGGTGACATAGAGACCAGTATTGAAAACCGTACAACTAAAGAAGGTCCCTTTAGGGAGTGAATATAAAATAAAAAAGTTTCCAAGACTGAGCCTTGGGGCATTCAACATTTTAGAAGCTGGGAAGCCAATGAGGAACCAGCATTCTCCTTCCAGGCGTGGCATGTTGGATGTCAAAGTAAGAAAGTGTTTCAGGAAAGGAGTCCTCAGCTGTTTCGTATGACACTCGGAGTTCTAGTAAGATAAAGATCATTGATCCTTGGATTTTACAACACAGAGGCACTGACAAGCCCTGATAAGACCGGTTTTGATAGAGTGGGGATAAAAGTCAGGTGGAGAAAGTTCAAGAAAGAATGGGAGGGAATGAATTGGAAATAGCAAATACGGACAACTCCTCAGAGAATTACTGTTGCAAAAAGGAACAGAAAAACAGGTGGGTATCCAGAAAGGAATGTGGATCAAGTTTGTTGTCTTACGATGAACAAAAATACAGCAGCTTTTAATACCAGTGATGATGTATCAATGAGAGAACAAGAAATGGATGATGCAAGGGAGATTACTGTTGAGGCCTCGGCCAGAGGGGACAGAATACAGTGTATAAAAAAGAAGATGCCCCAAAAAGACTTACATCCCTCGGTTTTTAATTCATTTACTCAATAAATATTTATCAAACAAGTATGTAGTTTGTGCTCGGCACTATTCTAAACACAGGGGAATATGTCACTAAATAGATGTGAGAAAACATATGTAAAAGCACTTAGAATAATATGCCTAGCACATACTAGGCACCTAACCAAAGCTGGCTAACTAAACACAGATGGATGTAAACTCTTTTCATCCAAATTTTTGACAAAAATGTGGACCAAGACAGTGTCCTAAAATCTGTCACTAGAGAACTATCAAAGGAATTTAAATAACAAGCTTTTGAATTGATAAAATACTTACTTATGATAAAATGGAAAAATGGCCTTAGAACTCAATGAATACAACCTCTTAATTTTGTGGAAAATTTAAAAATAGAAAGCCAAGTTGACTTACCCAGTTACTAAATTAATTCAGTGAAAAACCAAGAGCCAAAATTAAAACCCAGTCCTCCTACTTCCTACTCTGATTTTCATTATACTTCAAGTCTCTCTCTCTCTCTCTCTAACAGAAAGGCTGGAAATATTAAGATTGCAATTTCCATCTTCCCTCTACTTCTGCCTGGCTCTTCTTCCCCTCCAATTTACCATAGGCTGTACGTGACTCTCTACCACTTTATTTTAATCCAATAAAAACTATAATTCTTAAAAGATGTTTTGGGGGAGATGTAATATTTTAGTTACCAAAATTCTAGGTTATTTCCTAACCCCTCCCCCCCAAAAAATCTCCAGTGAAACAGTCCTATGCATCACATATTTTCCCATCTGGAATTCACGTAACTTGTAAGAAAAAGTTGACAAGTTGAAATATCAGCATGTCGATATTGATGGCAAGGAACATTTACAATAATTAACTTTATAGATGTTTAAAATCAGAATATTTCAAAAACTAATAAAACGGGATTTTTTTGTTTTGTTTTCTACAAAAACTTAAGGAAATAAATCTATTTCTTTTTTTTTTTTTTTTTTAACCATTACTGGTACTTTTAGCACCATGTATGGTAGCAGATTCATTTCTTACTTTTAGTATGTGAGCCACATTGAGGATGTGCTGAAAATGCCAATTACAAGAAATACTCACTGAAATCCAAATTAATTTTCCCTTTTCCTTTTTGCAGAGTTAATAATGGTTCAACAGGGCTTCGTACTCAGTTTTAGTGAGTACACTCTACTTCAAACCATCAGTAAAAATGAAGTTTAATATTTCAGTTATGATATCTGGCAAACTCAACCATTTTATCTCTAAAGCAATATCTTTTGGATTTCAAGCTTCGAACTCTAGGTTCTGAGATGAATTACCTTTCAAGGTGGTTTTTTATGTTATTGGTTTTTTTTTTTTTTCAATCCTAGAATGTCCTTCGACTCCTAGCTAGAACCTTGCACTCTGTTTCATAATTATTGTTCCACCCTTATTTTCTTAACTATCCTCATCCCCAAATGTTAACACAACCATACTGGTGTAACCGTGCAGCAGTCTTATCTTTTTGAGTCACTAACATGAGTAAGGCAGCAGCAAGGATGCGGGAATAAACATTTCATTTGAACATTAACCTTCTACTTCCACTCACCAGTAAATAAGGCCAAAATATTAGGGGCCATTCTAAACGTCTGGATTTTATCTTAGCTCTTACATATTCTAAAGGAATACCAAACCAACTTCAGCATCCACCGCACAAGCCAAGTCCTAAGTGCCCCGACAACCTTCAAGTTTGAACATGCTTCAAGAGGAAGCTGCCTGGGCGATCTCAACCAATGCCACGCACCAAACACTGATTGCTTTTTTCAAATCCAGCAGCGCTGCTCCAGTTTTCGACATCCTGGTTTGTGCACATGTATCCCTCGTATATCATCAGCAGCTGGAGGGCTGAGCCCTGTTTCACAGGCTGCAGACTCCGGAGACCGAAACAGTGCCAGGCGCCTCCAGAGTATGGACCTACCCGGACTATTACCAGCACAGGTGAGAGGTTGGATACCCACTTCGGTCCTTCCAGCAGTCCGAGGAAGCAGGTCCTACGAATCATCCCTATTTACAGATGCGCACAGCGAGGCCCAGGAGGGTTCCGTGGCCCGCCCGGGTCACACAGGTGGTATAAAGGGGCATCGACCAGGACCCCCGCTGGGACTGAAGTGTGTGGACGCGACCCCCTCCCCACGACCACCTTCGGCTTCACACAGTGGGCTCCATTCGCCTCCCTATCAGAGCGGCCCCGGGAAGCCCAGGGACCTGCAGGGACGGGGGAAGGCACCTCGCCCCGACCCAGGTGGAGGCCGCACCCGCCGAACTGCAGTGTTTGGGGCTCGAAGGGAGATGCGGGCCGAGGTGAATGGGCTCGCTGTGACCCAGGCAGGGCCTTCCCTCCCGGCCACTCTGGGGCCCCAGCCGAAGCCCGAGTCCTGCGGGAGGCCGGGGACTCCGCGCGGCCGCGGCGCCCCGGCCCCCGAGGCTGGCAGGGCGCCGAGGAGCGCGGGGAGGCCCAGGCGGGGACGACGCACCTCGGGCAGCAAGCAGAGGGGGCTCGGCTCGCCCTCACCCTGCAGCAGCGGCGGGAGCTCCTCGGTGGCTCACTCGGGGAAGCAGAGGCACTCGAACGGCCGTTCTCCCCGAGAGACCCGGAAGGAAAAAGCCAAGCGCCGGCTGCAGCCCGAGCAGCGTTGAGTGTGACACCGCCCGTCGCCCCGTCCCTTCCTGTGTCCCCACCCCCGGAACCACTTCCGTCTGCGGCTTCTCTCGTGCTCCGGGGTGGAGTGCTCGTGGGCCCGTCCCTCCTCCGCAGCCGGGCGCGCCTCCAGTCCTGCCCTCGGTCCCCAGCAGCCGAACAGCGGCCGGGAGGCCTTCCCGCGCAGTCTGCCGCGTGGCCGCCTCCTCTGAGGCGCTACGATGTACAGCGAGAAGTGGAGCTCCGTGGCGGAGATGTGTCTCTTCCTTGAAGACCTGCGGGAGGACTCCTGCATCCTCTGCCTCTGCTCCAGGGCGTTTGTGGAGTAAGTCGCACGCGGGCTTCTCGGTTTCCTGACCTGTAGGGGTTGGGGTGGCGATGGATCCCCGGGATCGGGGCCAGAGTGTCCGACCGTCGGGTACAGTGGTGCCTGAGAGAAAGGAAGAACCGTCCTCGGGCTTTACGGCGTGCTCGCCCACGGCCCTGAAGTGATGGAGCAAGTCTGCTCTGCGGGCTGTTAGGAGAGAATGTGGTGGCCCGTGTTTGTCATTTTACACTCGTCAACTGAGGGGACGGTCACAAGCTGCGGGGAAGTGAAATGAAAGCGATCTGGGATGTGATAGCACAGGGCGGAGGTTTGAAGATGAGTAACGTTTCTGGTTAACATCTTTTTTTTAAACCTTAAGGTTTATTAAAGCGCAAATGCACATAAATAGAACTTCTCATTACCCGGGAGAAAAGATTTAACTATAATCACATCAGTTTTTGAGCCGTGCTTATTTTTGGAAAATATTTGTTTCGGCCACAAATTGCGCTGCGTGGCAGAGTTAGTGGGTAGGAAAGCACTGACTCAAGAATTGGATTTTAGGGATTTTTAAAAATATATATATACATATATTAGGTGTGTGCGTTCCACCACTTAATCCTTTTTTTTTTTTAATCTCTGAAACGGGTATATCTACCCTAATCCTCTCACTGGCTTATTGTTAGATCCAACTTGTGGAACTGAATTTTATGTGGTACTTTTAATATAGTTTATTTAGAATTATAGAATTAAGACAATTTAAGTTGGAAGGAATTCTTACTATTCGCCATGTGTTTTTGTGGAGTAATCGGCAAATTAATCCGGAAAAAAAATTAAGCGCTGTATTAAATTTAATGAAAAAATATTGTCGTCTGGGGACTTCCCTGGCCGTCCGGGAGTTAGGACTCTGCGCTTCCACTGCAGGGGGTTCGATCCCCAGTCAGGGAACTAAGATCTCCCAAGACACAGGGCTCAGCCAAAAAAAAAAAGCAACATTCTGTCGTCTCTGTATTCATGCAGGCGTGTGTTCATTCAGCGAATTTTCTTTGTGCTCCGTCATGGTAGGTACTGGTTAGCACTGGGGTATCTGGCACAGCCCATCCCTACATCCTTAGTTTACTTTCTAGCAAAGGTGATCAATATTAAGACAGCAGGTACGTAATTATTTGGTTAATTATAGTTGTAAGTACAAGATGGGAGAGAAGTGCCAGGTGCTCTTATAGGAAAAACCCAACCTTTTGCCATGGATCACAGAGATTTCTTAGAGAAAGTAGCATGTGAAAAGTGGCCCAAAAGGTGAGTGGAAATAAACCGGGATATGTTTGAGTGGGCGGAAGCATTCCCATCCAGGCAGAACTCTGTAAAAAGCCTCCAGGGAGCAAAAGAAAGCCTGTGAAAGGGAAACAAAATGACTGGGAAAGAAAAATAGAAGATAGGGTTGGTGAGATACGCAGGGTCTAGACATGCAGGACTTTGTAGAGGACAAGTTCAGATTTGCATCTCTGAAGATGCCTCTAGTAGCAGTGATGTGCGGGCCTAGAACGAATCTTGTGTACATACCAGCCAAGGCACATCCTTAGTTCTTAGCCTGCAGCCCATTTGAGTCTTGGTGCTGTCTTCATGAAGTCTCCTTCCCAAAAAAGAAAAGGGGAGGGAATATAAGTTATAAAAAGTTGAGAAAAATACCTTACCTGTAGAAAACAATATGCAACTGGATTTCAATTAAAGCCGCTTTATTTAAAACACAATTGGGAGTTCCCTGACAGTCCAGTGGTTAGGACTCAGCACTTTCACTGCCGGCGCTGGGTTCAATCCCTGGTCGGGGAACTAAGGTCGTGCAGCCAAAAACAGCAACAACAAAAATAATTCAGTTACCATATAAATCACCAGTTACGTTGCATTTAGTCTTTTTGAGCTAAAATGTGCATTCTTTTCATCACAGATAATTTCATACCTTTCTTAAAACTTGGAAGCTTTAGTTCACTTTTTAAAACTACCTTCTAAGTTCAAAATAGGTAAAGAGAAAAGAATGGCTTGGTCTTTTCCTTTAGATCAGTTACTGCTCAAATTATAACCCTTTAGAACAAAAAGATCTTGGAGATACAGTCGTAGAATTGTCACCAGTAGTCACTGAAAAGTCCTCGGGAGTGGGAGACATGCTGGAAGCTCAGAGGCTCATGAGTATAACCCTGATTTTCTAGGTAGGGAAAAAGTCTGTTTCCAAACTCTAAGAACAATACATTTGATTGTTGGCCAACTTCAAATAGATTATTAAACTGAAAGGTCAGTCCCATGTAGCAGAAAACAGAAAGTGAGCTTTAGCATAGGTGCCAAATAACTGCTCAGTAATTAAGAGATTATTTTCACACCTCCCCTCAAAGGCAGGAAATAGAACATAATATTGTAACTAATTTTTATTTTCTGAGGACATTACATTAACATACTGTCTTATGAGTTCAATAATTGGAGTAATAATTCTGCCTCATCTACACACTTAATTTTCTATACACTGTCTATATGAAGTGGACATATAATTACAGTGTTATAGGGCTGTTAGAAATAACCATTACAGGGCTTCCCTGCTGGCGCAGTGGTTGGGAGTCCACCTGCCGACGCAGGGGACACAGGTTCGTGCCCCGGTCCGGGAAGATCCCACATGCCGCGGAGCGGCTGGGCCTGTGAGCCATGGCCGCTGAGCCTGTGCGTCCGGAGCCTGTGCTCCGCAACGGGAGAGGCGACAACATGAAGAGGACAGCTTACCACAAAAAAATAAAGAAATTAATAATAACCATTACAGGACTTCCCTGGGGGCGCAGTGGTTAAGAATCCGCCTGCCAATGCAGGGGACACGGGTTCGAACCCTGGTCCGGGAAGATCCCACATGCCGCGGAGCAGCTAAGCCCGTGTGCCACAACTACTGAGCCTGCGCTCTAGAGCCCGTGAGCCACAACTTATGAAGCCTGCACACTTAGAGCCCGTGCTCCGCAACAAGAGAAGCCACCACAATGAGAAGCCCACACACTGCAACAAAGAGTAGCCCGGTTCCTGTCTGAGCCAGCTACGTCGGAGGTTCCCAAAGAGCAGTTCAGTGTGTCCGTCACTCCTACGTTTGTCAGTTAGCGTTCTTTGTGGAGCACTTTCCCTTCTCTCCCCATTGTTTGTTCACTCCCTTATTTCTATTAACATGGACTCTGGACTGTTAATTTTTTAATGGATATACTGTTACTATCATCATTTATTTTGGTGTTCCTTTCATCTCAGATGGCTGGTGGGAGCCCCTTGAACTGGCTCCTGAATCCTTTTGATGGGTCCCTGGCGTTCTGTGAGCCCTTCCTAACCTTCCAGCACAATAATATAATTTTACAGTCTACGCTCCAACATGGAAGTGCCATTTCTCCAAGGTGCCCTGGTTCCTTTTAGTGGAGAGCAGTGTTTAGAAACTAAGACTTGGGTTCTCGTTGTGCTCATTGCTGCTGGGTGTTCAGTGCTTCTCCACCCTGGGCGGACACAGTTAGGCAGGCTACAAGCGCATTTCACGTACATACACAAATGTGTGTGTTGAAGAATCTTGGCTGTCGTTATCCTCAGTGCATTTACTTATTTGCTCGGTGTAATCAATCTTGCAACCATATTGACCCTCTTCTCCATCTGACACCTTCATGCCCATACCCTTGGGCACTAGCGGGTACACCGTCGATGCCCTTCTGTGGCTGCCCCCGCGCCCCAGGCTTCAAGTTGCTGGCGGTCCATGGGCATGCTGCCAGAGCACATCTGCCCTTCATCCCCTCCCCCGTTCACTGTCCTGCTGAGTCACCACCTATGTTACGTTTTATCAAGTGTCAAAAGATAAATAAATGGGGGATATGAGATATATCAAGTACACAAGAACTTTGTTTTGTTGAATTTGTTGTTGCTCCCATTAGAAGAGTGGTATTAGCTATTACTCGCAGATGGCCTTGTTATGGCAGTTATGGTGGAGTTTATTACAGCTTAATTTACCGGTAGGAAGATAATAGCAAAATTCCCCCCTTTCCTTTATTTTAAGTGTTCTGTTAGGGTTATTTTGCTTATGAAATTCCTATCTTAGTAAAGAAAAAATTTAGAAGTAGATACGTAAAGAAAAGTTCAACTATTCACTTTTTAAAACTCTGAGACTGAATTGTTTTATTTCGATTTATGTTTCAGTTTAATAAAATAAGAACTTAATTTTATGTTAGTCCCCAAAACAACCTTAGCTCAGACCATGAATATCTTATCTACTAGGCAGTGGATAATTTGGCCTATTTGCAAATGGACTAGGGTCTGCGTGTGGGTTTATAGAGGTGTAAGATAAATCTTTTCACGTTTATGCTCACTTTCTACAGCAGATTTAGAGAATATTTCACTGTTTGTACATCACAAGGAGGATCAGATTCTTTCCCCAGTATCCAGAACTGCCACTTAATTTTAATAAATTAGTAGTTATCATTATAGCGTGCTTTGCATGTGATATATACCAAATGCTTTATGTGTGCAATCAGTCCTTATTAGAACCCTGTGAGGTATGTATTATTACCTCTGTATTACAGATGAGAAGAATGTATTAGCAGATAGCTTTTCTGTTTTTTAACCTTTTTATTGATCTATGCCGCCTTAAGCTTGTTTTTT